TTAGGGTGGGAATCTGAATGCATGAATATCTTTGAATCATAATATCCTTCTAGATCAGAGGGTTCACTTTAATAGGAAATCTAATTGGTAAATCATGCGTCGCGCTTGCAAAATACTAATTCACGCATCAAAAAATGTGATGCCCAGTCCAGTATCATGTGACTCACAGCTACTTTTGGGGCCGTCACGCATCACGCAAAATCCTTTGCCACGCCCAGGTTAAGGCTGCTCGATTTTTTTTCCATCTTAAGAATTCTGCAAGAAATTTTTTTTTAACCAGAAACATATGCTCGATACTTTTTTTGGGATTTGCACAACCCCCCCATCAAAAATCAAATGGTCCACCCCTTATAGTTTCTGGAGTGGCGACGTACAACACTACGCCTGAATTTCATCCGGGCACTTCGAGTCGTTATTGCCCCTTCGGTAACTGCTGAGAGGAGAAAACGACTCGAAGCAATCCGATGAAATTCAGGCTACCTTACACGTGCCTGACACACAAAAAAATCCTCACATGCAGTAGATGCAACGACGCCCAAGTGTACGGTTTGTGTACGCTTAGATAAATTGCTTAGATATAGCTTCTTGTTTCAAACGTACCCAGATCTCGCACGGGCTTTGGTCATTCGATCTCCCAACCTCGTTTCCAGGTTGACGTTATGGTAATTTCTCTTCAGAAAAAGGCGGGAGAACTGCAACGGTAATTCACTTGGGCTAGTTTTGGTTTTTGGCCAATATTTAGAGATCATATCATTATTTCTTCGGAAATGAATCACTTAAGTTTCGTAAATGGAAGTAGCCAAGATGAAAACTTTAAAGATCAAAGAGATGCTGAGCTCGATGAATTCGAAACATCGAGTAATGCTTTCAAAATGGCGCAATCTTCTTCGTCGAGGAACAGAAGGCAGAAGAAGTTGATTGATTCGGACTCTGACTCCGATAAGGAAAATGCAGTTAATGGGTACGTTACTACAGGTTGTATCTAGTATTTGTTTTTTCGCGACCACAGAAACCATCGAACACGTATACTATTTTTTTGTGCAACAGTGATCGTATATTTTTGTCGATCGCATCGAATGATGTTTATTCACTCTCCGAACAAAGCCTTTTTTGTCATCTCGAGGACACCAAAATCGAACAAGTGACAGAAAGGCTCTATAGCAGGGAGAATGTTTATTATAGACCTAAGGTTCTGTTACTTTCGATCGCAAATTAGATATAGAACCCATGGATGAATACGGCTGAGTTCGAATCGAGCAATACACACTGAATTTGAAAACACAGGCTACGGTATAAGCCAGGGGCTGATACCAAAATTCTTTGCTTCCTTACAGTCTTTCTTCCCCAGCCAAGCTGGTCAAAAAAGACCTCCATGAATTAAAAGAAGAAAGGATAGCTGCTTTTAAGAAAGGCATTGAGTACAACGCAAAGGAATTTGACATCCCACCTTCTTCAGATAGTGAGGTAAGCTTACACTTACTTGCTTAAAAGCTAGTTTCACTAGCGACGGAATCAGTGTTGGAGTTGTAATCGGAAGCATAGAGCCTTTAATACGATCGATTGAAAACAGTGCCTTGAATCTGCTTACAACTCTGTTGCTAACTATCTACTGAGAACTACAATTAGGTTGTCGGAGTAACCTGCGTAACAGGCGCTTTATTAGCCAAGTGAGGCAAATGCGGCATTTTGAGCAAAGCGCGAAGGGAGGAGAAAAATAAAGTGCCTGTTTACCAGTCGACTGTTCTGGCTCTTCCTCCTGCCTACGCCCACAACTATTGACTGACAGCAGTGATGTTGGGTGATGTCAAAAGGACCAGTCAAAACAGGATCCATTACTTGAAAATTGTCACCTTTCTGGCTACCAGAAACACCGACAGCAGCATAAACCACAGGAAATAACAACTACAAGAGATTTACTCAGTCAAAGTTTAGTTTATGTCCAAACACAGCGGCGAGAAAGAAAAGGGGGAAAACCTGTTATTCAAACAAATTCCAAGGTCACGTTTCACATTTATATCACAAGCTTATGAGTGGTGTTTGGCTTGTCAACACTTTCAAAAAGTTAGTAAGTCAGGCCCATGGGGGTACTCTGGATTTCAAGTGACAGGGATTATTGAAGGATTTTTTTGGGTCTAAAATTTTCAATTCCAGGACTTTTTTGGGTAGGAAAATAATATTTGGCAAGTATTTTTTTGGGTTAAGTAAGGATTTTTGGGACTATTCAGAACAATCTGTCAAAGGCTCATCGCCACATAGTTCTCTGAATGAAGTACAACCAAAGTTGTCTGCGGAAATTTGGCATGGGATTTTTTGGGGGTTAATATTTGGCCCAGGGATTTGCTTGGGTTTTGATTTTTTCCCTGATTCGATCATCGCGGGACTTAAAATCTGGAGTACTGCCCCTGGGAAATCAGGCTTTATCCAAACCTAGTTGGAAGCAATCCGATCAAAGAACATCTTTCCTCTTAAGTAATAATGTTAAACATTGCTTTTGGTTTTCCTTTATTTCCAGAACAACGCATCATCAATTAACCAATTTATTGGAATGCAACCTTCATCTGGTGAACATGGAAAGAGCCAGGACAATGAACTGGTAACAGGCGCGTTTTTTTTTCTCCTCCCCTCATCTTGCTCTTCGTGCAAACTGCCGCATTCGCCTCGCTTGGCTCATAAAGCGCCTGTTATGCAGGCTATTGTCGGAGTTGCAAGCAGAAGCATACAACTGAACTTATCACAATCATGGGACATGCATATTTCTCTTAGGTATGTCCCTTGGCTTCTGCTTCTGACTCTGACAATGTTGTTGTTACTAGATCGTATGTGACAAGGTCAAAGCTGAGTCAGCAGAAATAGAAACATTCTGATTCTTCTGACTTCGATTCCATTTAGCTTATGCTACAGCTGTACATGTATGGCTCTGCTTACATCTAAAAACTTTGTTTGTCTTTTCACTGCCATGTTTGCTCTTTTCACTCTCACAACTCTGCTTATGACTGGCTCCATTGCAACTGAAAACCAGCCTTAAGGCCCCAAGGGGTTACTCCAGAGTTAATGATTGGAAAGGGGCAAAAATCAAAACACAAAAAAATACATGTATCCCTGGACCAAAAATTAACCCCTGAAAAACCCCATGCCAAATTTCTAAGCCTTAGAATTTTTCCATTTTGGATGATATTACACTAAGAAAAATAGAAATTGAATGTTTGTGGTTGTTTATTAGTCATACCATGTCTGAATATATTTTTGTCTTAACTGATTAACTAGAATTACATGGCCAGCATACATATGTGGCACTATACCACTCTATACCAATCTTCAGATTGTTTTGTAAATGTCTGACTAATATTGCAATATTTTTGGACATAATGCACCAATCACTCAAAGCATTTGAGGCGTGAAAAACTTAATAAGTGCTGCGGCACTTATTTGAGTAGATACGATATGCCAATTTATGACTGACCAATTTTGGAATATATCCTTTCAAAATAAATGTTTGAAAGGACACATGTACTTTTAAGTAAGAAAAAAATTCCAGCTCTGGAACTACAAAAAAACCTACTTAAGTCAAGGAACCCACTTAACCAAAACATTCCTTCCCCAAAAAATCCAAGGATGGAGGATTTCAAACCCCCCAAAATCCTTTGATAATTCCCATTCAAGTATCCAAGTACCAAATTATACTAAAAAAGAATGAAACAGTTAACTGAATTTCCTTTTTAAGCTTTCATATCTGAATTCATTAATCCAGCTTTGAGCAACTGGGCCCTGGTATTTTTAATTGTCTACTATGAGGTGTACTACAGCTCATGGAGGTTCAACTGTATTTTATCTAAAGTTTGATAGGCCTCCACGAAATGAACATTGCTCAAAGGATCAGGCGGAGGATACAGAGGTTTATGAAACTTCGGAAAGTAGTCAAGAGATAATCGCACCCGCCTCATCACAAAAGAAAAAGTTATCAAGTGTTTTGGTCTCCAACTCTGAGGAGGATTCCACATCTGATGCAGGGTAAAGTTATTATCATTTGGAAGATAAGTGAGTTAATTATGTGCAGTCAAACCCCGCTTTATGGACACCCACCAAATACCAACATCTCATTATTACGGACAGTTTGCTTTGTCCCTGGAAAAAGAAAGCCCTTTTTTATGATCTAGAAATTCAACCCACTTTAATAATACAGACACCCTGTTCATATGCCGATTATTGACATCTTTTATGGTCCCCTCAGTGTCGGTATTAATGGGTTTTGACTGTATAATTTATGCTTTCATGAAATCTTGTTTGATTGAGTACATTAATCAAGGGGAAACGTAAGGAAATTCTTTCCTTTTTTGGACACTCAGACTCCGCCTTCTGACTTTTGTTTGATTAGTATCAGGATCCTTAAAATGTGTTTCATTGAGCACAATAATCAAGTGCAAACCTAGATGAAATTTTTTGCTATTTTCTTGCACCCTTACTCCACCCTGTGATATATGTCTGATCGGTAATAAAACCCATGATGTGTTTGACTGAGGACAGTAATTGAGTGCAAACCTAAAAAATTCTTTGGTTCTTTTCTTTCAGTCTTACTCCACCTTCTAAAACGGGAAAACGCGTAATCCCACCAAGCAAAGAGAAGATCAAAAGAAACCGTCTTCTTCAAGAATTACAAGAAAAAAGAAAAAGAAAGTCTTCTACAAGGAAAGCCTCTGAAAGTGAGGAAGCTGGTCAAGAAAACCCTACACTTTGTAACTTCTCACTTACATCAGATAATGAGGTTAGCTTTCATTATTTTACATTGTAACTTGTTGACTACAGCTACCAGTGCTTCTAACCTACTCATTCACTGTAATTTTGCCAACAAAAGCTGTTCAAAACTAGTGAAGAGGTTTTCTGGTCACTCTCCAGCCTAAAAGCACCAAATCATCCCAAAACATGTACAATCTGACAAGTCAAGCACTATGCTAAATTACAGCTCCTGAAGTTCAGGTATGCACAGAGGGCAAAATTCGGAGACAGTTTTTGTGTTTAAAAGTGACACTGCCTGTAGTTAACCCGGGCTCTTGAGAGTAGAGTCATGAGTGAAGACTTCTCTGAAATTCAAAAACGTGTATATTCTCAGACCATGTGCTTTATGCTAATTTTTACAATAATCATGTGACTTTCCTGATGTAAATATCAGTGCATATCAAGTTATTACATTCCTCCCCTTTCAGTTAGAGAAATAGAAATGTGATTATTATCAGCATGTTAATTTCTAGAAAATCATTATTTGTAATCATGATACAAAACTAGTTTGGTGCAATCAACATTCAACATAAAAACAACAAAATCAATGTTCAATGTTCTCATTCAATGTTCTCATTCTGCACTATGCCTATTTTGCAAAATCTCCTTAGTGTCTGTCAAACACTGATAAATGCTTTGTCATCGATCTCCTGGGTAAAACCTCTGTTGTGGTCTCAGTGCTATCTCTTGGACTGGTAGCTGTGTCATTGCTTTGTGTTTCAACTCTTGTTTGCTGTTCATATGAAGGTGGTACATTGTATCTGCCTAGGTTGTGACTGTCCCAGAGCATCATCCTCATTTGTGCCCTGTGCACTTATCTTAAGTGGCTTAAACTTTGATGCATTTCCTCGTTGCTTAATCATCTTGCATAGATGGTGCTACAGATTCTTTCACTTGGGTCACGATGTATACATGTATGTGAGATTCGTAGGGTGTCTCAGCTTTTTTTTTTGACATCACGTGTAACAATCACTGCCTTTCCAACTTGCAAATTCGATTTTTATAACTGCTGCCATTCTGTCTAAACTCTCTATCCTCTGGTGGTGCCGAGGATGGGAAGTGCTCAAGTTTTGTTTGCACTTCTCTGATCATCAAATGTTAACTCAGAGGGTGTCTTTTTGGTTGCTAGGAGTGGTGTATCGCAGTATGCCTGTAGCTTCCCAGTCCCTCCTGATTTGCAATGGTTGCTGTTTTGTTCATGAGCTTGTTAAAACCTTCCACCTTGCCTTTTTTCTTGGATGTCTAGGTGCTGCCCTCTTGTGGTTGAATCCCATCTCTGCTGCAAGTTCTTTGAACTCCTTTGAGTTAAATGGTGGGCCATCGTTGGGCTGCACTGTCTTCGGTACTTCATGTGTTGTGAAGATTTTCTTCAGCTTTTTTCCGGACTGGCTTGATTTACATTGCTTTAATGATTCAACTTCTGGCTATCTTGAGTATTGGTCTGTTACGGTAACCACTATTACGTACTCCTTGTTGGGAAAGGGTCCACAAAAATCTGCCTCCACTGTTTCTCATGGTCTCTCAGGTAACTCTGTCATCTTAGCCGGTTCTGTGTGATGTGTGTCTGTTGCAACTGAAGAAAGCACTGACAATGTCCTTGATACGTATCATAGGTATCACTGGAAATGGCTGCTTTTTTATATGGGCCACCCATTATGGAAAGAGAACATTTAAGATAGAATAAAATTGTTGAAATCTAACAGTTTAATTTGTTACCTAAAGATTACAACGGCCAATTTGCATAAAATACAACAGGTCACAAAATGAGGAAAACATAGCCTTCACCTACCCCCACCCCCCAGGAAAGTGTGCATATTTTTGACCTTACCGGTCAGGAATGGTCCCTAACAGGTTGAGCTAAAATTTAGGGAGAACACTGCAATCTGAGGACCTCCATAGATTATTAACCTGTCCTTCTTTACATCCAGATCGGTTAGCCCAAAGAATCTGCATTCTCTCTTTCTCTCATTCTTCTTCCACTTAGTCCAGCTAAGTGCAGTGTGGCTCATGTCGTTTGAAATGGTAAATGGTGGGATGTTTAATTGACGATTTACGCCGGTGATCTGTTGTTGATGTTGGGTGTGCGAAGATTCCGTTGAAGATGTTTGAGGTGGAGGCATTCTGGAAATCTTCTACTCGTTCTTTTGCACAAATCCTCGTCACCAATGTAGTGACTTGGGCTCTCTATAGTAAAGACATGTGTGACCGAGCCGTGCGAGTAGGGGAGGTAGCGAATGACAACCAATGAAAGACAAAATGCGTACAAACAAACAAGAATTTTAATGGCCAATTAGTGGAAAAGAAATACAATAAAAACAAATACTAGAAAAACGAATAAAGCAACCAAAAAGGGAAAGAAATTGGGCGATGAAAAGGGCAATAGCGCTAAAAGGAAACAACGACGCTAAAAATTACTTAGACGGCTAAACAATACAACTAAGGGAATAAAAGTACACTAAAATGTAAAAAGTAAACAAAACACGCTAGGAAACATGCTAGGTCACGAAAGAAGAACAAGCGTGACAAATAGCACGTGACTCGTGTCAAGAGTCATATGATACGAAGACAAGAAAACACACGCTAAACGAGGTCAAACTGAAAGATTGTGATCTACGATCTCGCACAAAACGGTGGCAAAACTAAGCTAAACACTAGGCTTAACGAATAACAACGGCTAAAAAAACTAAAGGATGACGATTTCAGAGCTGAAGTGCTCGAAACAGCAGCAGAAAACAACAAAACCAAGAAACGATGAAATCTACAACAGGAAAGTAATACTAGTTACTACGGTCGCTGGACGTTTCATAAACACGATGACCTCAGAGAAGAACGAAGAACATCCTACGAAAAACAGCAAAAGGAGAACACTTACCCACTCCAGCGAGGGGAGAACTCTACAAAACTATGTCCTACAGCTTGACTAGTGAACGCAGCAACTGGAACTGTACTAATGCATAGAAACGCTACGTGCAGGCGTATTTATATTGCGCGGAACACAAACAGCTCGCATCCTGTTATTAGCAATACAATTGGACAACTATAGCTAGGTAAGCCACAAAACAGTGAAATCTTCCTTTTCCGTTATGCGGACAAACGCTTTGTGATAATAGCGAAATGCGCAGAATACATACGTGTTCTGTTAATACAATAGGAGGAAACAAATGGAGAGTTTCGCGGTTAACTACAGCAATGGCGGCAAATTAAAGCGAACTAAAATCAATTAATTTCTTTCCTGTTTATGGGTGTAACGGCGGAGAAATCACAGAGCTAGATAAAACACGGCTAACCACAAAGCAGAACTAAAGGAACGCATACCGTGGGAAAACGATAAACGGGACCGCAAAAATAATATCGAAAAGAAAATGCTTTGTGAGCTAATTATCGAGCTCGGTTACACATTTACAAGACATGTTATGTTAAAGAATCACTTCTTGTGAAGTTCAGGCAAGAGCAGATTAGGCAAAACTTGGAGACAGTTATGGTGTTTAAAAGTTTCACTTTCTCTCCTCCTTGCTTCTTTTGCTTTCTTTTCTATTTTTTCTCTTCTTTTTCTCCACATACATGTAATGCTCTTTTTGTTATTCTAGTCCTCAGACGAAATGCCCAGTCCATACGATCAAAGTTTTACTGATGATGGTGCTGTTGACAGCCAAGATATGCAACAGCTTGTGGAAGTAAGGCGCCTGCTTCCTTTCATTTTTTGTTGATTGACAGTGTTTTAGTTTTATTCCTCCAAGACGGCTCACATCACCAGAAGTCTCTCCACAGGTAACCCAGGCTCTGTGATAGTACCACAGTACGGCTCCAGTAAAATTACAGTGTTTAAATGTATGGTGTAAAAATACCATCCTAAAATTTCGAGGGAATACTAAATAAAGATCAATGAAACTTACTCTGCAGTTAGTAATTGTTGTTGTCCTTATTGCTCCAACGAAGTTTCATGATAATTTGCAGTAATTTGTTCAAATTCACTCTATATACAGAGTGAATTTGAACAAATTACTGCAAATTATCGTGAAACTTCGTTGGAGCAATAATGACAACAACAACTAACTGCAGAGTAAGTTTACCCCATACAAAACCCTGTAATTTTACTGGAACTGTACTGTGGAAGGTTTCACAGAGCCTGGGTTACCTGTGGTCTCTCTAGAGAAGAACAGCTCCTGAATTTAATCTGTCATGTGCACTTCTATGCACCTTGCTTCTTTTGCTTTCTTTTCTTTTCTTTTTTGATCTAAATAATACTCTTTTTGTTATTCTAGTCATCTGAGGAATTGCCAAGTACATATGATCAAAGTTTCATTGATGACGATGCTGTTAATAGCCAAGATAAGCAACAGGTTGAAGAAGTAAGGCACCTACTTCCTTTATTATTTTTGTTATAATAATTTTAGTTTTTTTTCTTTTAGATTTTGCCATAAAACACGTTTTGAAGCTAGTTGAGCAGTTTCCTGGTCACTACTGTCCTGCTTTAAAGAGCTAATACTTACCACAAAGCTGTTTACGTACACTTCATGGCCTTCTGATCCAGATGCAAAGTATCAGCTTGCAAAGTTCGGACATGTGCAGAAAGCCAAATTTCAAGATAGTTTTTGGGTTTAAAGTGACACAGCAGTCTTGTCTTTTACTTTGTCTTTCTCTCCTTCCCTCTTTTTTCGCTTTTCTTGTTTCATTTTTTTTCCCTCTTGCTGGGCATTTAGTAGGCTTCATTTTGCTGGGAAAAGTTTTTAGGATCTTAAGATTAGATGAAAAAAAAGGTAGGTGGGTAGTGGAACAAGATTTTCACAGAAATTTTCAGGTCAATGTTACATGGTTTTTTGCCTTTTCTCCGGTGTCCTTGACTTTATTGTGCTCTTTCTGGTATGGTTTGAAAGATCTCTTCACTCTGCACAAGTTGGCAGACAAAGCTGTCCTTGACCAGTAAATTTGATGACGTCAAAAGCAGTAGAAAGGATGTGGATCCACACAGGTGGTTACAGGTGGCTCAGGGGCAAATTGGTTAATAATAAATGTATTTTGGACACCACTTAATCTTGCAGGAGTTCATGTTAATGCGAAAACCCTCTTTAAAGCAAGCATACATTTGCTATTTGGAAGTGGCTCTCACAAAGCTGTTAAGCAATAACAATTCTACCAATGAGATAGGTAAAGTTTTTGTTTTTCTCTTGATTGCATTCGGCATATTATTCAGGAATCTGTTTCATTAATCACACAATTTATATGTTACCAGTACTTTCTTATTCAACATGTCCAATCCTGCATGTGTTTTCATAATTCAAGCCCTCCTTTTTCAATGTTTGTGTGTTAGCCTGCTAAAAATTTCCTTTAAAGTTTGAAGAACTTACAAAACAGTGCAGCCATTGTCTTAGAGTCTGAAAACAATAGCTACATTGACCCCAGCATCAAATTCTCTGGCTCAACACAAAGATAATTATTGGCACTGAGTTGTTGTTGTTGTTGTTTTTTATTACAGAGGGAATATTTCTTAGCTTCCAGAAGAATTTACTTGTTAAAAATTATCAGCCCTTATGGGTTCTAGAACCATATTCTTTCATACAAACCATAGCATTAAGTTATTGTATAGTTTAAATTTTTAAGTAGCCTGTGAAAACAGCTGACATTTGACGATGCTGCCACTGGTCTCCCCGCCAAGTGATGTCTAAGAAACAAGCGCAGAAATTCCATACTGATGACGCATCACTACCCATATCTGGGTAGTACTTTTGACTGGTTGTATCAAATTTCACAGGTGGCACGACCAATCAGAAGCACTACCCAATCTGGATAGTGAAGCGTCATCAGTGTGGAATTTCTGTGCTCGTT